AACTATAGGAAAATATGCGTGAATAGGAATTTGAAATAAAGGACGTTTAGGAAGAATATGACCACATGCAGATCCACGTTTGGGTTGGAGTGGGCTCCAACACAGTGTTGATCTTAGGGACACTATGCCAAATTTTACTTTATACCACACCATATAGGCATCGACAAACCTAAAAACCGATGTTATTAGTATATTAGGCATCAATTATATAAATAATAAGACCAAAAGTATATGAAAACATCAGCAAAAATTTCAAACTTTGCCTACCGATGCCATTTATGCTACTTTAGCATATATGGTTAAATATACCAATGCGTAAAATGGTATTTCAACTTCTCTTAACATCACTTGCTTCCAAATGTCTGTACTACTTGTTCTATTTTACATTTGCTTAAATAATATATCCAATCTCTCATAATCCCTTGAAATATTTAATTTCATCTTTATTATTAGTTTTTTATAATGATTTTATTATTAGTTAATAGTTAAATACATATCTTTTTTTATTTTATTAGTTGAGTGTGATAGGTGAGAATTAGTAGCTAATAATTAAATACATATCCTTCAAAAAGTTGGTGACTAATCTTATGGAGGATTCTTGTAGAAATATGGCTGCCTTGTAGAAGTGTGCTTCTGTTTCTCAAGCACTCTGTTTGTGTTTGGATATCTAGACTGGTTTGGGTTTCTCAAGCACTCTGTAGGTGGGAATTGATTATAGTTCAATTGTAAATTATATTAATATGGAGTGAGCCAAATTGACTATATAATTTTACGTAAGAAAACGACGACGACCTTAGCTGGCGACTTGGAGAAATCGTGGCTTGATTTACGACATGCAGCTTTCATTGTCACTGTCAATTATTTAACCAGATCGATAGGGAACTTAGACACTTGGCCTGTGTGTCTTGTCTCTCTGCGTGTACTTGGACTGTCTTTCACTTTTAGAGCATCTCCAGCCTTGGCACAAGACTGGGCAAAAGGCCCCCCAAGGCAGCCCAAAGATGCTCCAGCGGAAGAAAAATGGCCCGGGCAAATGATGGGTCCCATCAAACTGGGCAAGCCCACGGGCAAATCTTGCCTGGGCTGCTGCCTGGGCAGGATGATGCAATGCTGACATCATAATGATGTCAGCAACTAAAAAAAATACCAAAAAATCCAGAATGTTTTTTAATAAATACCTAGGCATATTCTTTACTTCCCACACTAAAAACTCTATACAAATTTATCTATTCATATCTCATGTGAATAGTATTTTCCATTGTCTTAGCCTTCCAAGGGTGGAACCAACTAAGGCAAGGCTGCCACTATTCACGTGAATAGTGGCAGCCCTTGCCCTGCCTTAGCCTTGCGTCTCTCTGCGTGTACTTGGACTGTCTTGCACTTTTAGTCTTTGAGGTTAATTTTGATTCATTCTAAACCAGGAAATTGAAAGAGTATAGCAGTTGATGTACTTGGATTCCATCTTATATATGACTTGGTCTTCCTCCTGCCTTGGACTCTGCCTTAGATTGTGTCTTGGTCTTTCTTTGTATACAAAATACTTACTTGCGAATTAAATATATATGGGTAATGCTAGGCTTACCACATTTTTCATACCACATTCATACCACCTCTCTAATAGAGGTGGAGCCCACCAAAGCACCCAATCCAAAATCAATTGACAATTAATGGCTGAAGAAGTTCTAGATCTTTTAAAGACTGACACAACTTTCATATGTATCAATTATAAAGTAATATGAACCATTTGGAAAGGCAATAAAAAAAATGTACATTTTTTTTATTTTATTTTATTTAAACAATGGGCTCCCATGGGTAATTCTAATGTGTACCATTATGTGAAGATATATAATACAAGAATCATTTCTTGTGGTTTTTGTTAGGAGTTTCCAATTAAGGACTTTGTGAAATATCCTTCACCAGCTGAAGCTGAAGTGAATCAATGCTCTTTCACAGAGGCGGCCCATGGCATGTGTGACCGCACAGGGCCTCCAAAATTTAGGGGCCTCCAAATGTTTTTAAAAGCCCAGCATTATATTATATATTTTCTGCTACTTTTCGTTTTAAGCAAATTTTTATTTCAAAACATTATTTTTTATTCCTAATGTGCAGATTTTTTGTTCCAAGCATTAACAAATGAAAAAAAATACTCGTGAGTCATGTGTGCGTGCGGCGTGCTCTCCTTGCTATCCCAAATCGCTTTTCTTTCATTTGGCCCCAAATTCACTTCTTCCCAACTTCTTCTTGACTCTCCCATCCAAAAAAAAAATCTTCTTTACTCTTTGGCATATAAATAATTCACAATTGTCATTACTGAGATTTGATTATGTTAATTTTTTTCTTCAAGTTTTTTTGTTTACATTTAAAATAAAATATCACATAAATTTTAATTAATCAGACGTGACATATAATTTAACATAAGAAAAAGACGACGGCCTGGTTGGCGGCAACTTTGAATAAACGTGGCTTTGATTAACGAGATGCAGCTTGTGTACTAGTCTAGTATGGGACCAAATTGATGCAAGGAGTTAACTTGAGTCATCAGCGCAAGTTAGCAACTCACCAAATTGTAGGGTTGTCGTGTCGTTTTGAGTACTGTGTTTTAGTCTCTCCGCGTATTCTCTGACTATCTCAAAATGTAGAGGTGCACAAACTTTACGCAACATCCCAAACATGAAGACTTGGAGTTAACCAAGACAAAAAGAAAAACACGAAGACTTGGAAATTAATTAATATTGGAGAGTTTGAATATATATATATAGATCCTTTAATAATATTATATGCATAATTGATATTCAGGATTCCTCTCTCAAAACCAAAGCCAAATTAAAGCACAGGCTATAGCAAGCTATATATAACAGTTTTCCTGTATAATATAGTTGGATTGCTTGCTATCACTAGCTGTATATCTGGCAATGGAAGAACTACATGCAGCAGCTTATGCATACTATAGCCGTGGCAATGACGATACTCGTTGTAAAGCATATGAATTCTTTCGATCCATGGATACAGACTGTGATGGGAAAATCAGCGACGCCGAGTTCAACGACTTCGTCCAACAAAGTGGATACCACTGGATCCTCCATAATGACCCCAACTTGTTCGCTAGACTTGACCTCAATCGCGACGGTGGGCTAGATTTCAAGGAAGTACTTACGTTCTACTATATCATCAAAACAAGGTACATAACCTGCCAGGGCCAAAGTTGCCGAGCACACCTTTGTGGCTTGTATTTTACGTGCGTTGAGTGCTTTGATGGAGGAGCAGCTAATTATTATTATCACTATCCAACGTATGACCTGTGTGCTGCTTGCTATGGTAATGCCAACTACACTCACCAGCACTGGATAACCACGTTTTGCTACGCTCCAAAAGAGGCCCTCCTTATGCTCGGCCAAATCTTACCATGGTAATTGAATTACTAATTCTAACATCATATAACATGTTTCTTTATTTTGGAACGGAAGTGTGGAACAATTGGAATTAGATTAACTGCCAGCAGGGTTTTTTAGGTATTAATTCGATTACTAATTCTGAGGTGAGACACACTTTTTTAGCATACTTCTTGGATAACCACGTTTTGCTACGCTCCAAAAGAGGCCCTCCTTATGCTCGGCCAAATCTTACCATGGTAATTGAATTACTAATTCTAACATCATATAACATGTTTCTTTATTTTGGAACGGAAGTGTGGAACAATTGGAATTAGATTAACTGCCAGCAGGGTTTTTTAGGTATTAATTCGATTACTAATTCTGAGGTGAGACACACTTTTTTAGGGTTTAGATCATGTTGATTGAGATTAAAAATCTTTAACCAATCCTTAACGTAGAATCCTTAACATTAATTAAATCAGATGTGATATTAATTTATTTAATAAATTGATTAAGGCATTATAATTAGTGGGAACATCGTGAAAATATAATTAGTAATTATTGCAAATAAATTTGTTGTTTTGGGTTGATTTCTCGAAGCTCTTGCTTTGGGTTAATTAATTAATTAATTTATTTATTTAACAGAGGTTAATTTTGTTCTTTGGTATCATATATTTATTTCCCTGGTTGTTAGATGGTTTGATTTTCTGATTTGAATTGCTATATGACTCATGTAGGCATTGGCTCAAGCTGCGCCTGCTCCTCAAATTCAACAGAATCCTCTAGTGATTACTAATAATTACTACGTCAATCAAGCTGCGCCTCAAAATCAAAGGGTGAGTTGAGCTTCAGATGCTTATTTGAATCTCGTACCCATAAAAATGCATTAATTCTTCCATTGAATATGCTTTATATTCTTTCGACTTTTCAGAATAGATGGTACCATGCAATCGAAGCATTTCAAGCATTAGAGATGGCTCTTTCTATTTCAGCTTTGGTTTCCAACTGCACAATTATGTGATGTTACAAAAAAAGGCCTTTCAGAGTTGTCCTATTTTCTTTCCATGTTAGTAAAGTTTTGTTGTTGATTGTATTAAATATACAATAAGGAGTTGACTTGGGATGCAAGTAGCCAACTAGCCAGGAAAGAGCCTTTAATTATTAACTCCATAGTGAACCAACCTGTAGTCTCCTTGGACTCTGTCTTGGTCTTTCTGTCTTTGCCCTTTTCTCCCCCGCTGTAATATTAATTATTATCACTAATGAGTTAATCATTATTTAAGATTTTTTTTATGTGACTATCACTTGTATTAAAAAAAATTAAAGAAACTATCGAATTGTTTTTCACTAAATGATGTCGTAAAATTTCAAATCTAAAGATATTGATATATGAAGCAACGCATCATTTGATGAACAGATTTAAAGACTCTAGCATTATTGTATACAATATTGATCGAGTATATATTAAGCTGTTAATTAGAATGTCAACCCAACAACAATTTGATTTTATTTAAACATATGACTCGGTCAGCACTAATATAGTATTTATATAATCCAAAATTACAAAAAAGAAGACCAAAGAGCAGAAAAGCTGCCTATAGGCTATAGCTGTACTGTTCTAACTTCTATATGGAAATGGAAGAACTACATGCAGCAGCCTTAGCCTACTATTCCAATGGTTCTCCGGAACTTCAGCGTCTGGCATGGTCTTTCTTCCAATCCATGGACACAAATAACGACGGCCGAATCAGCTCCTCAGAGTTTTATGAATTTCTGCATCAAAGCGGTTACAGCTGGATCATCAACGACCCCAGTTTCTTCATGAAACTAGATCGAAACCGCGACGGTGGCCTGGATTTTTATGAAGTGCTCACCTTCTACTACATCGTCAAAACGAGGAACATCTTTTGCCAAGGGTGTAGAGTGTACCTTTGTGGCTTGTATTTCACCTGCGTTGCTTGCTTTGATGTAGGAGCTGACCATCATCAGGGCACCTATGATCTCTGTGCTGCCTGCTACAGCATCAGGAATTTTTATCACCACCATACGTATTTCTTGGACAACCATGTCTTGCTGCGCTCCAAAAGAGGCCTCCCTCCTTGTGCTAGACCCGATCTCAATCAGGTAAAGTGCTTGCTTCGTTATTTGGATCATCTTTTGCTAATCACTTTTTACTAGGGTGCTTAGCAAGATAATTGAGATGTGGTATATGTTAATGGATCTTATCTAGAGTAATTGAGATGCGGTATACAATGTGCTTTTACGAAAGTAGCTAATTTGAGTTCCTATATGGTTGATTGATGTAGGCAATGACTCCAGTTCCACAGCCTCTGGTGATTTATAACAATTACTACTTTCAAGCACCTGAAAGGGTGAGTTTCTTTTTCTTTGATTTCATGCTCATGTACCCCTTTCAATTTTAAAGGATTGAAAGGTGTACATTTTCACATTTCTTATTTAATTTTCTTTTGTTTTGTACATTTTTTCAGAATAAATGGTTTCAAGCATATCGTCTATTTGAGATTGCTGTTGCTGCTGCAAGTATTGCTGCCAATTGTACAATTATGTAATGTTATTACAAAATGGGATGCCTATATTGGATCCCCAGAAAGTGGGAAGATATAGGAACAATCACCGATCATAGTTGGAGAATTGCGTGAGATCATTCCATGTTTTTCGTCACAAGTTCATAGTTTAGATTTTTGTTTTTATTCAATTCAACAATACAAAAAACTCTCGGTCATAAGATTTGAACTGAAAAATGAGGTCACTACCCTCAATCCCCCTTTTACCTTTCCTTCTCCCTTTTACTCTTGCCTTCTTCTTCTCTGTGGTGGTTTGTTTGGGCTGTTGCCCTGTGTTGTGGAGGTTTCTTCCTCTGTTTAAATTTGTGGTGTTTTGTTTGCTGCAAAAGGCTTGTGTCTTTTTGCTTCCCTACTCATGTGGGTGTTTGCTTGGCTGGGTCAGCGGTTGTTCTTTTGCTTTTGGTTGTTTATTTTGCAAATTGGAGTTACTATCGAACTTATCACAAATATAAATCGTCCTTGCCATCTATGTGAGTCGAACTTGAGGACTTCTTCCAATCAAATAAAGACAAATACCGCTAAATCAAAGGCTAGTTAGTGTTGCAATCCTAAAAATACATAGTTTATAGAATCTCACTTAAAAAGGGATAATGGAAAATTTAGGACCAGAAATTGGGAGCCCCGGTCACTCTGTATTGTAAGAAGTAAAAATAAAAGGAAAATATCCAAGCACCACTCGCCGTTGTCCTTTCACTTCCCAAAACAAAACAAAAATCAAATCGAAAATATCGTCCAGGCTTCCAGACAGCAAGTAGCCTTTTTCTCTGATGAGTCGGGCTTTGGCCCATCGGATTTCGGGCTATCCACTTCGATCCACGAATTGAAGGCCAAATAATGATCATGCGGTGGGAAAATAAGGTGTGTGAGAAAAAGACAGAGTGAAAATAGCAGCACTCGCTGAATGTGGCAGTTACCTCACCCCCTCAACCATTTTTTTCCCCAATTTTTTTAATAATTAAAGTTAAAATTAAAAGGTTTTTTATCACAAAACGTCCCTGACGTTTACGAAACTATCAGATTGCATCCTTAAAGTTTTTTTGTATCACTCATGGTCCATAATGTTAATATGGATGCTCTTAAATAGTCCCTCCGTCAAAAAATCTGTTAAATCTAGGGATATAATCGTCAAATCAATCCAAAATTAATATATATATATATATATATATATATGTATATATAAGTCTAGAGGGAGAAACCCTAGAAATTCAAAAATCCCGGCAGAACCAAAAAGTTGGATACACTGTCACCACCACTCGCCATGTACCGGCTCGCTACTCGTAACTGCGTCGTCTCTCTCCCTCGCTGCTGTCATCTTGCTCTTCTTCTTCGCTCCCATCCTCGTAAATGCAGCAGCTCTTTCATTCCCTCTCCGCCGCTCCTGTACTCTCTCTCTCTCTCTATTTATGTTGTATATGGTCTTGGGTGGTTGAAATTTCTCTAAAAGGAAAATCCTTTTGAAGCCTGAGAGAACGTGCTTTATTCACTTGTGCGGAATGTGTGTTATTTATATATGTATGAGAATTAAATTTCCATGGAATAAGAGTTCTAAAATTTTCTTTTAGAAGTATTTTGTATTAAAAAAAATCATAACTTCATTAAAAGCAAGATAACCCAGAAGCAAAGAAATATGAAACCCTCCGTAACTGTATTGGTTTGTTTGGTGATGCCACAGTAAACAAAAGTTATTACTCAACAATGTAGTTCGTTTTAATGTATTTTCAAACATCGTTATGATAAATCTGGTATAAATTCCAAATGTTGTCTGATGACGATTTCCTTTTGTTTTATTTAAAAAAAATGGGAACAGAAGAATAAGTCAAGGTCTGATTAATTACTTGTTTAAAGAGTGTGCCGTACTCACTGGCAAAGTAGGTAGTACTTTGTTTGTGTGTATTATTTCTTATTCAAGATTCAGATTTTAGTACTGTTGGTTATGCAACCTTTATTTTCATTTTTACATTTGATTCTTGCAATTTACCATTGTGATTTAACTAATGCTATTGAGGATTCTTTTTGTACATTACTAGTGGACAGTTTCGAAGGATTCGTTGTTTCAAAGATCAAAAAGTTTTAAGAGGAAGCAGAAAGGCGACCAATAAACTTAATGCTTTGAATAATTTCCTGGATGAAAGAGTTCTTTCTAACATACTGTGGTGGAAAGAGGTTGCTATTACATTTTATTGTTGTGACTAGACACGCTTTTCTCCTTTTGTTACAAGCATTCCTTGGGAATATGATTTCTTGATATCTTTCATTGTCATGGGTTTTTCATTTGCAGAGGATGGAGATGTGCAGGAAGCCGTCAACTGTCCAGCTGGTTAAAAGGCTTGACTATTCCAATTTGCTAGGCTTGGATGTTAATTTAAAAAATGGGAGGTGAGATCCTCTTGTGATACTAAAGTTGTCTTATTGCTATTTTAACTGTATGCTTACGGAAGAGACAATGAGAAGAAAAAGATATGAGTTATGCATTGTTCTTTTCTGCTCTTATTAGTTTCTCTTGTGAGCTTTTTCTTGCATATTTTATTGTGATTATTCGTCTGAGCTCTTTTTTGCATGCTTAAATGACATGAAGGACCAAATTGTAGTTTCCTCAAATTTAATTCCCGAACTGTGGTTATAGGCATTGCATCTCTGCATTGGAAAAAAAAAAAGGTTCCTTTTCGTGGTTAGTCGGCATATTAACATAATTTCATAAATCTCAAGGAATTGAATTCCTATATAAATAATTATTTGATCTAACCTGAAAGGTCTCTAAGAGTGTTTCTCATAGTACAAGAGTATCCTTTCAAAAATTTACATGTTCATAGTTTTTGTATGAATAGAAAACTAAAAATGGCCCGCTTTCTTAGAAGCTTCATGAAGATTACTTCTTTATCTGTAAAGCTCATTAAGTAAAACTTGTTTGTTTTAGTCTAAAAGAGGGAACACTCAACTGGGAGATCTTGCAGTTCAAGTCAAAGTTTCCACGTGAAGTTTTGCTCTGCAGAGTATGTAACATATTTCTTTATCAGCCCTCTTGGTTCAAGAAACTTTTTCTACTGAATTGCATTGGGTTGCCTTACAAAAATGTCTTTGTATTCATTAAATGTTTATATAGTGCCCATTAATGATAGATGAAACAAGTGTTTTATTTCACTTATATTTCAGGTTGGTGACTTTTATGAAGCCCTTGGAATAGATGCTTGTATTTTGGTTGAATATGCAGGTTTGAATCCTTTTGGTGGCCTGCGCTCAGATAGCATTCCGAGAGCTGGATGCCCGGTTGTGGTATTGATCATATGCATGTTATATTTCCATTCCTTGATCTTTAAATATTCTTTTGCCTTTAAATTTCATTCTGCCTCACATTCAGAATTAATAATTTCTCTCCTAATTTTGAGAAACTTGTATATTCAAATAGTAAAACCATACTGTGCCATTTGCATGAGAATTACTTGATTTAATGAAGTTTTGAATGGATTTCCAATGGTTGAGTCAAGAAGATGAGTTCAGATTTGTGATAGTAAGGAAGGTGGTTTTAACTCATAAGTGCGGTGCCAAACATGAGGGCTTGTTTGCAAGCCCATATTGGGGCATCTGTGTGAATTAAAGTATGAATTCTTTGTTCCTTTTTTCTTCTCTGGGAAATATACCATGTGTAGCAAATCGGAGATGCTGAAGAGGTCCTTCAGATGTGGTGTTATTTTGTGTAGTTCTGGGATGATATCTTGGGAATCATGTTAAATAATTGGTACAGCATAATTTCTTCCTGTTTCTTTTGTATTTTTCTGTTGCTGTCCCTGTTTGCTTGCATAATTTTTTTATTATTTTTTCCCCATTCAATCTAATCTAAGGACATGCTTCTTCGACTTTTTGTCAGTCAATTCCTTCTCTGTGCATTATTATTTTGGATGCATTTAATCATGTGTTTATTCCCTTGGGGACTCAATGCATAATTGCATATGATTTGCAGAATCTTCGTCAAACTTTGGATGATCTGACACGGAATGGGTTTTCGGTGGTAAGTATAGCATTTCTGATAACTCATCTTATGTATTCATGAAATTTAAGATCAGAGTTCTAACATGCTTTTCTAAGTATTCACTTTACTGTTGTGCGGAATATGCAATTAAGCCTTCGAGTCTTCATTATTTTCTGCTCCACTCATGGACTGGGCACTTGGTGCCTAAATGGTATAGTTCCACCTGTGACCCACTGATGCATGCTTCATTGGGTGTTTGTCCTGTACTTATCTTTAGACTTGTTGCCTATAGAGCTGTATTATGCATCAATTGCCTTATTAGTAATGTGAGCATATGTCAAAGAATTTATGGTCATCATCTGACTAGTTTGTTCAATGCAATCATCTGACTAGTTTGTTCAATGTTCATCATCCAACTAGTTTGCTCAATATTCATGGTTTGGTTCTTGTAGTGCATAGTGGAAGAAGTTCAGGGTCCAACACAAGCTCGTTCCCGTAAAGGCCGTTTTATATCGGGGTAATTACGTGTTGATAACTCATTCTTTCAATTTAATCTGTGATTCTTTTCATATAGCTTATCCTTTAAATTGATTTGTTTTTTCTTTTTGAAGTGATTGATAGAATTTTTTATTTATTGCTTATTCCGAGGAAAGGGATACAAAGATTTCCAATCCTGAAGCACGTTATGGTGTTTCTGATACAACACTTAGTACAGTGATCATAAAATGTTGAAACATTCTTAATGGCCAGTTTTCCTTTCAAGAGTCATCCGCGACAAACACATGTTGCCTCTTGGAAAACTAAATAGTGTGGTCCTTTTGTTTTATTTTTATATAAATCACTAGAATTTATTGAAAATGGAAATTAAACGCTCTTATGAGTGCCCATATTTTTATGTCAGAAAGTTTCATGTTATAATGAAGATTTCATGTATCTTTATATTTTCTGGGCAAAGTTTTGTTTTTAAATGTGATCTTCAAAATGCTTGAAATACATATGTTGCTTCTGACTTGTTTTGTTAAGTATTTCAGGCATGCACATCCTGGTAGTCCATATGTGTTTGGACTTGTTGGGGTTGATCACGATCTTGACTTT